TTAAGGCCTGTTTTGAGCTAACTTGAGGTCGCTGATTTTAAAAGATGGCATTACTTTTTGCGTATTACGTCAACGTTTTGGCTCTATAAAAAAGTGATATTTTTTATGTCGATAATATAACAATATTCAGGTTTTGTTCAAACATCATGGCTTATAGTTTGATTTAAAATGTTACTTTAATGAATCAGAATAACCTGTTGAACTTTAAAATGGGTTCCTTTTTTATATATAATAATGAACCAATAAAAGTAGGATCTTGCTACTATTTTTTATGCTATAAACGTAATAAAACACAACTATATCAACTGACTTGTCTTATCTCTTCCGGCCAACCATACAGCGGCGCCTGGCTTCACGCACTCCCTTCTTCTTCCGTCGGTTGCCTCCTCGACAATGATAGCCTTCGTATCGGACTGGCGACGAGACTCGGCCTCAAAATGTGCGAGCCCCACACATGCAGTTGTGGATCATCAGTTGATAGCTTCGGCCTACACCCACAGTGACTGTCCTGTCGTGGGAGTGGGGTCGTTTCCCACGTCACGCCAGCGTGCGCTCGATGAATCCGACTTAAAATGAATTACTTTTTGATAATGACCAAAGCCTGACACACAAAGATGAACGAAGTTTCCAACACAACACCACCAGATTAAACGAAGAATGTAATAACTACAACATGAAGATCAACATCAACAAACCAGAGACAATGAAAGTAAGCAGAAAGCCAGAACCACTCAGGATACACATCAACAACAACAGTCTCGGGCAGGTCCAAGAATTTAAGTAGATCTACCTCGGAAGTATATTTACAGAGGATGGGCGACTGAACAGAGAAATTGAAACACGAGCACAAAAGGCCAAAACTCAAAATGATCAACACCATATTCATCCCTACACTCACCTATCAATGCCAAACATGGACCACGAACAAGACATTAGAGCAAAGAATTATAACAAGTGAAATGCTATGCCTTAAAAAAGCAGTAAACAAGACAAATTAGAAACTCAGTAATCCGAAAAATGGTGGGCACAAATTATGTCTTGCATTACATCCAACACCAAAGAATCAAATGGTTCAGACATCTCCTACGATTACCCTCACACCATCCAGCACTACGTGCCTACATAAACAAAATTCGATGGCAACAAGGCTAGAGGGCGACTGCGAAAGACCTTGGACAGATGGAGTCAGGGAAACATTAACCACCCACGTCCTCCCCCTGACCAAAGCTCTCCGGCTGGCGACAGAGAGACGTCTCTTTCTTCCTGCGACATAAAAAAGGGTATAAGCGGCGGATAAAAGTAAGTAAAGTATTGCAACTGTTTCTATTCTTAAGGATATCACAGACATTGCTGCTGCTGCTGCTGCTACTGCTGCTACTGCTGCTGCTGCTGCTGTTCTTGTTTTTGTTGTTGTTGTTGCTGTTGTTGTTGATGTTTATTGTTGCTGTTTCTGCTGAGATTAACATACATCTATAATTTCTTCTGGGAAGCATCCATCTTTGCAACCGTTTAAGTCCGACCCCTTAGTTCCATCACTATTTATTTTTTGCTAATGCTTTGTTCACGCTTCTATTCCTTTTGTCTTATTCGCAAATACATAGGCCTATTAGACACACTTTAGGGCAATTCTAATGCCTAGGACGATTTCAAATTCCCCTACGGATCATCCCACTTACTTTCCAATTAATTATATTATTTCCACCTATTCAGATATCTTCGAAGAAACTACAAAAGATTGGTGTGTGCGTGTATGTGTGTGTGTGTGTGGGGGGGGGGGGGTAATTGTTTTGTTCTTTTCTTTTTAGTTTATTAACACAGGGACGAAGAGCTGAGAAGAAAAAATACAAGAGAGACGGCGAGGGTGAAGGTCATGGCAATGTTTCGCAAACACAAATCTCATGTTCCGCTCTCCGTGTTGTGAAAATATTCAATGGAGCAACACTGGCATCTTAAAAGTATGCTTGTCAGATTTTAAAGGACTTTGTTACGTTCCCGTTCGAGAAAAGGCTATTCTACGGTAACTGGCGTGACATACTATCTTACGATATGATAACACTGTAGTTCAAAATCACTTAAAACCTATTTCAACTTCAACTGATCAGAACACTTGTTATCGAAAGCAGTCATTTGAAAAAGCAACTTTATACCAATTCGTTACGTTCCGGCTTTATTAAGACTCTACCAGATTACTAAAGAGTTAGAAAACTCAATCACACCGAGGTTGAAATTACTTGGGGAACAAAGCATTTACTTTTACAACTGTATTTCTCTTCAAGTATCAACAAACTTGTCTCTTCCTTCCTTACTTCCTTCCTTCAATCCAGGCGGAAAGGTACATGTCTTTCTCACCCGTTCCTCAATGCTACCTGTTCATTCCACCTCCTCCCCCCTCTCCAACTCTCTGTTTCTCTGTCTCTCTCTCTCTGTCTCTGTCTCTGTCTGTCTGTCTGTCTGTCTGTCTGTCTGTCTGTCTGTCTGTCTGTCTGTCTGTCTGTCTGTTTCTCTCTGTCTCTCTCTTTCTCTCTCTCTCTCTCTCTCTCTCTCTCTCTCTCTCTCTCTCTCTCTCTCTCTCTCTCTCTCTGTGTGTGTGTTTCCTTCCCTCCTTCTCTTTTTCTCTCCCCTCTCAATATCCCCCGCATCTCCCCAATCTCTTTCTCACACTTTCTCTCTTTCTCGCCCCCCCCCCCTCTCTGTCTGTCTGTCAGTCTGTCTGTCTGTCTGTCTGTCTGTCTGTCTGTCTGTCTCTTTCTCTCTCTCTCTCTCTCTCTCTCTCTCTCTCTCTCTCTCTCTCTCTCTCTCTGTCTATCTGTCTGTCTGTCTGTCTCTCTCTCTCTCTGTTTATGTGTGTGTGTGTGTGTGTGTGTGTGTGATTGTGTGTGTGTGTGTGTGTGTGTGTGTGTGTGTGTGTGTCATACACAAGCACATGAAGACACACACACTAACATAGACATACAGACACATATAAAAACACACATACACACGCACATACACACCGACACTGCACAATCTGACAAACACACATACATTGTACATTAACAAACAGCCACGCAAACAGACGTAATCTAGTACAAACGAAAAGGGATTTTAAATTATATGTTTCTTACTCAACCGTACACCAAAAAACCCCACTCGTCAGCAGAATGACGCAAGTAAACATTTTGTTTTTCTCTTTAACTGCGCAGATTCTCAAACGACGTTCCACAACACAAACTGATGCAATACATAATTATTTTCTAAACTCAGCCTTGGACAAAGAGCACTCGTCAGCAGAAAGCTGGCAGTACACATTATATTTTTCTTTGTTACTGCGCAGATTCTCACGCTGTGTTCTGCAACACAAAATGATGCAATCCTCAGAAGTCAAATTTTCTCACGATCTTGCTGATACGAAAACTTGCTGACTTTAGACTATTTTTTATCTTACCCTTTAAACCTGGAAAATTGCTGAATCTTTTTTAATTTCCAGATTAACAGTATCTCAGAATTTTGCAAATATGATAAACGCCCGTATCCTGGTTCACGCCAGAGATCCGCTAGAAGTGGCGCGTTTCATCATAATTCCCTGAAAACCTAATTTACGTTTTTCTGTCCCCGTTATCTTCCAGCATCCATTCCCCTATTCCCCCCTCACACAAACTCTCCCGAGGACCCATCTAAATCTCCAAGCTAGAGTATTATCGAGAAAAGCGCCGTTTCAACTGGTTTTTTGTTGTTTTGTTTGTTTGTTTGTTTGTTTGCTTGGAAAAGTATTTTATCATTATATTATGTTGTTGACGTTAGCCAATCCTGTATAAATGGGCGCGAACTGAGTAGCTCAACTACACAGAGGCAGCGACTATAGGGTAAGTAAGCGGATTCTTTTTAACTCTTTAAGAACGTAGCGGACACTTATATCCAATCAGTACCAGGCCAAAGGCAATGGTACGTTACATTTTTAACCTTCCAAAACAGATCAGAGACATACATAATTTGATTCTTTCACAGTATATTATACAATATTGTTGTTTGCCTGTGTAAAATATTCAGGACGAAAAAGGTCGAGTTTGTGTACATAACGAAGTTACGTTTTTTTATGTAATCGCCCAAAAGCAGTACGTCTTCAAACATTGTGGTGGACTAGAACGCAAGTCTTAATGAGTTAAACAAGAAGGTTTATCTTTGTTGTTTAAACAATCTCTAGAATTGTCTATGGGCGCTTGTGGTGGCTTGGGTGAACAGACTATGTTCCCTCTAACGTAGATGTGTGTTGTGCCGACTTCCGAGATAGAAAAATTTATTACAATAGTTATTAATATAGTGTAAAGCGCATAGAGCCTGCTGTTGAGCGGGGATATGCGCTATACAAATGCTATCTATTATTATTATTATTACAATGGCTCTGAAAATATTATCTTCAGTTTTAAATAGATATAATTGTTCAGTGTTTAAGGCCATTGACCCAAATTTCATAAATATTTTACAGATCTAAAAGAGTGAAACAGTTGTATGATGTTTAGTTTGCATAAAAATGGAATCGGAAACGCAATGCCAACATCCGTACAATCTAAATACACTCCCAATATTAAGATTTTGCACTTTTCTGTTTTGATCAATAGTCTGGCAGTTTCTATTTTGCCCACCAATACTACTTTTTGTTTAAAACAAACAATCAAACAACAACAGCAACAAACGGTTCAATTTAATGATTTTAAATAATGGACTGAAGAGCAAATTGATCAAATGTTGTCTTATTTGAACGTTTTCTCTCAATATTTCTTCTAGACTTCCGAGCCAAAGTACGTGAAGATCTTTGTGAACAGAATTACTACTAGCAGTACTAAAACATGGAGGCCAAAAGGACATTAATTATCAACCTTATTTTGGTAGCAGCCCTGGTAATGTGTTCAAAAGCATGGCGTCTCAATGTTACGTCTGGAGAAATAGAAATCGGTAAGACAGCACAAGTTTCTCTGAATTGTTTCAACCCCTATCAGCAGCCAGACATTTCGGAAATTCTATTGATGAGAATCCAGAAAAAACATTTGAGCGGATGGTCCAGTGTTGCGGAACTTCGCGACGATGATGTGGACGTCAGACTTACAGCTAAAGATGTGACCGCTACGGGCAGCATTGTCTCCGGGGCTAACAGCTATTTGCGGCTTTCTTGGCCATTGGCAACGAACGATACAATCGGTGTGTACCGTTGTGATGTCACTATTTTGAATTCCCACGGCAGTGTCGGGTGGCAGAAAAGCCTACCGACTTCTATCACTCGTAAGAGTGACGTCACTGTTCAGATCCTCAGTGAAATGGTAGAAGAGAACAAGAGACAGTGTATGCAACAAAAGCAAGACATCCAGGAATACGTAGCAGCAGCCATAGAGGATACCAAAAACAATTGTTTTAAGGAAAAACAAGACGTTCTCCAGAACATGACGGCAACCCTGAAGGTGCTTGAAGCGAGTTTCGATAGCAAGTTGGACAGCAAGATACAGGTGAGATTCATTTTTCAAATATAGATATATTCCTTAATACAGACATGTAAGAATGTTTGAAGAGAGCCTTGAGTTGGAAAATTAGGTGTTTTAAAAGTAATCTACATTCTCCTTCTCCTCCTCCTCCTCCTCCTCCTCCTCCTCCTCCTCTTCCTCCTTCTCCTCTTCCTCCTCCTCCTCCTCCTCCTCCTCCTCCTCCTTCTTCTTCTTCTTCTTCTTCTTCTTCTTCTTCTTCTTCTTCTTCTTCTTCTTCTTTTTCTTCTTCTTCTTCTTCTTCTTCTTCTTCTTCTTCTTCTTCTTCTTCTTCTTCTTCTTCTTCTTCTTCTTCTTCTTCTTCTTCTTCTTCTTCTTCAAAGACTTCAAAATGTTTACAAGGACCAAGCTCTAGATTGTGTCACAGCATAAAGATGGGTCAGACCTTTATGCAATGGACTGGAAAAAGAGGGAGAGGTGTCCATGTGCTTGTCAGAATATCAAGGGAACCGTACTTTGGGACATTCATAGAGTGTTTCTCACAGAAGTTTTAAATACGAGGAACAACTATCAGTTCTGACTCCTACATTGATTCGACTGAAAGCAAGAATTCGACGAGTCAGACTAAATTTCGACAGGAAAGAGAGTTGTTTCACCATGACAACGCCCGTCTGCATACGAGTTCAGAAGAAGGAAAACAATCAACCTGGTGGGATGGAAAACACTACCACGCCCAATCTATTCTCCTGATTTGGCTCCTTCAGACTTCCACCTTTTCCGTCATAGACAAAAACCATTGAGATGTCAACACTATGGAAAAGATGGAGAATTCAAGACGGCTGTAGGAAATTGGCTTAAAGACCAACCTGCTCAGTTTTACGAAGGAGGCATACGTGGACTTAGTAAAAGGTGAACTGTGGCTATTTAACTAAATGGAGATTATGTTGAGAAATAGAAATCTGATCCTCAGAAGCTGCCCTTCAATTTTAGGTATGACAGTTGTAACTGCTTTCTTTTTTCTCTTATTAAGTTATAAACGGATTTGCGTTATTTTTTTTATCCTCCCCTCGTATTATTATTATCGTGATTATTATTGTTGTTAATGTAGTTATTATTATTACTATTATTATTATTATTATTATTATTATTATTATTATTATTATTATTATTATTATTACTATTATTATTATTAACATTGTTATTCTTACTATCATTATTACCTCACTTTGCAGGCTCTGAGCCACACCGTGGCCCTATACAAAAGAGAATGTCCTCACCAACTGCTATCCCACAAACGCCAGATTCTGGAGAACGTGGCAGCTGCCTTGGACAGGAACAGGAAAGAGGGTCTTCAACAGAACCAAGACCTTCAGGTTAACGTGACGTCCATCATGGAGGATCTTGAAGCCAGTTTTGAGAGCAAGTTGAGCGTTGTCAAAAGCCAGTTACAGGTGAGAGCTCCTATACTGATGAATAAATTTTCACACAGAAGTGGTTGAATTTATGCTGAAGTGAAACGATTGTGTGTACTGGTTCCTTGGTTGGTAGAGTGTGCGATACACTGATCGATGGATAGTGCAACAAACTGGCTTATAGAGTATGTGGTCAACTGATTGACGGATAGTGCAATATACTGGTTTGTATGTTATATATAGTATGAGATAAACTTATCGATGGAGTAAGTGGAAAACTGGTTAATGAAAAATGTGATAAATTGGCTGGATGGCTTGGGGATAAAATGCCTGATTGACTTAGTGGTAAACTCGTTCACAGATTTAACTGAGAAACTGAGAAACTGACTGCCTAGTTGACTTTCATTGCCTCTATGATTCCTAAACTCTTCCGGGGTATTCCCCCGTCGTGTAGCTGCCAAACCTATTCACGTCGCCATTTCCAATAGCCGTCCACCAAACTCCTTCCTTGTGCATTACTCTTCAGCCCCAGTCGTGCGCTTATGCTAAGGGTTTGGGTCCTCGGCCGCTGGTCCGTCTCTTTAGCGGTCAACTTGTAGTCTGTGACACGGTGACGGACCAAGGTGGCTGGATCGTGATACAGGTGAGTACAGGCTGATACAGTACAGGTGAGATCAACATTATTTTCCAGCGTTATAGGCTGATATAATACAGGACAGATGGACATTACTTTACAGTAATACCTTCTGATTCTATACGGTGAAAATTAACATTAGTTTATAGTAATAGGCCTACAAGTAATAATAATACTCTCTGAAATATTTTACCGGTGAGATTAATATTTTCTGCAAAATAAGCTAACATAATACAAGTCAGACACCATAATACAAACTGATATACATTTATGACCATCAAAAGTTTACCGTTATTCGAGATGTTACAGTTACAGATGAGATTACCATTATTTTTGTGCAATACGGGAGGATACAAGTGAGATCAACCTAATTTTACTGTTGCAAAACGTGTTACAGTCTTTCTGCTCAGTGACTTTTCAATTTCAAGTTGTAAATATTTAAAAATCTGTGTACAGTATAATAATATACAAATACAAGGACTCGTGTGGTTATAATCAGAATACTGAGTAGGTCTACGTATCGAGCTTAAAATTATTATTGTTTATATACTGATCATTTATATTATGCGTGTGACTGTAAGCATGTTTGGGATGCAAGCATACTGTGTATATGTGCATGTTTGTGTGTGTGTGTGTATGTGTGTGTGTGTGTGTGTGTGTGTGTGTGTGTGTGTGTGTGTGTGTACACGTGCATGTGTATGTGTGTACGTGGTGAAACTCCAAACCAATGTGCCAGGATCCTGACAATAAAGGGGTATCTTATCTTATCATTTTTCAAAGTTTTTGTCATGCAATAAACAAAAAACAAAATAGGAAAAATCCCAAGGTAGAACACATTTTAAATCTGCTTTTTAGTTCGCAGTGCTGTCATAACATATTATTGGTAACTTTATTTTAACTCTTCTTGTTTTAGAAGTTAAAACCTGGCATGATTTTTCAAGCAATGTGATTTCGTACGCTTCATGATACAAGATCTAGACCTTATAAATCTGTGTAATGTTCTGTTTTGTCAACAGAGACGTGCTTCGGCGGATGTTAATTTTTTCCGTGGTTGGACGGACTATAAGAACGGATTCGGCGACCTCTCTGGCAATTTCTGGCTTGGGCTAGAGAAAGTCCACCAGTTGACAAGTCAGGCAAGTTGTTTACAGTTTAATACAGTGGACTGTCCAAATGCGTGACCGCACGGGAACTTTGTTATATATGTCGATGTTTGAACGTGTTCCTGTTGTTGCTCCTCGTTATGTTGGTTTACTTTTGGAAAGGCTCTATGTTATTATTAAGTAGCCCCTTACACACAAAAACTTTTGGTCAAGCTATTGGACTTCAAACGTATTGGCAGTTTGATGTTCTCCGTACACGCTAAGTATATAAACATGTATATATATATATATATATATATATATATATATATATATATATATATATATATATATATATATATATATATATATATATATATATATATATATGTGTGTGTGTGTGTGTGTGTGTGTGTGTGTGTGTGTGTGTGTGTGTGTGTGTGTGTGTGTGTGTGTGTGTGTGTTTTAGGACATCAATATCAGTTTTACACGATCGAAAAATGGTCAAATAGTTTGACTTTTAAAAATTTGGAGACTAAATTATGCGTGTATGAGTAACTTAACTATATTGTTTTACAAGGCTCTAAAGCCGAGGACGTGGTCCGTCTCTAGGACACCTGGCTGAAAGGAAATCTTTGGGAGGACCAATATTTAAACATAACATAGATTTGAACCTGTCACGTCATTGTCAAAGTCAAATTCATTATCAACTCAGACATAAACACTGGACTGTGTATGTGTTGAAACCTTGTGGATTTACAGGTTGTTTTAATTGTTCTCACGTTCTCATCACCAGGAGAGATACGAACTGAGGTTCGATTTGAAATTCCAGGGAAAAAACTACTTCGCCAGCTACGACAACTTTTCGTTATCTGGAGAAACAGAAAATTACAAAATTCATCTTTCCGGATTTTCGGGTAATGCAAGTGACAGTATGGCATATCACAATGGCATGGCGTTTTCAACTAAGGACCGTGACAACGACAATTCATCAGGTGGAAGCTGTGCCAATAGCTATAACGGAGCTTGGTGGTACAACGGCTGCCATAACGTAAATCTCAACGGACTGTGGGGAGTTACAGTGGGCGCGAAGGGCTTGAGATGGCACAGTGTAACAGATGGCTCAGTCTCCTTCAGCGAAATAAAGATTCGACCATTTCCTAAGTGACAACTTCATGACACTTAATCCCCCGTCTATTCATTGTGCATTTAGATTTAGATGTTTACCTGTCTTTTTATTTGAGGTATAGGTTTCAAGATTTCATAATTTCAAAATGATTTTACTGACTTGAAAGGTCTTTGACCCCTACATCTACAAATTACGTTTGAGGTATATAAAAACCCAGTGATAGAACATCTTCACAATTTCAGAAAATCGAAAGCTCAGTTACTCTGTCGTCTCATGTCATGACATTCATCGATTGGCAAGGTTGAAAAATAACACGTGATAGCGGTACTAGAGCAGTTTTTACATTATTTTTTTATACCAGGAATTTATCTATCGCACATCCCAACTCATGCACACGCTTTTGAACACCTGTACAAATATACACATAGCCCAAATACACGGCAACATGTTTCATTGAAAAGAGAGGGTAAAACTTCTATTTCAAAAGATTTTTTAAAAATCATAGTTTGGAGGTTTTCGTGATTTTTTGGGTCAAATTAGGTCTATTTGAGATATATATATATAATATATATCAATAATTTTTACAGTCGTGTGTATAACAATTATACTTTAAAGGAACTATATTGTGCAATCCAGACATATTTCACAAAATGATCAAAATACCATTTAAAATCAGCACAATTCTTTTTCGGTACTTTGAAATATTAGTGGGATGATTGTCTGTGTTAAAGATACAACAAAACTTCTTGTCCTGCTGAAGCACTATAGTGTTGTTAGGCTAGAAAGTACGCCAAACGTTATGTACATTTATTCTTAAACAAATGTTATGGTAAAGAGAGTGGTCTTGAGTACCGCTTTCAAGCAAAACTTGGAGAAGAAAAAATGCTTCATATCTACACATTTTAAAAGTTACTATCAAGCTGGGTCCTATTTCAGAAATAACATTGTTACATAGAAACAACAAAGATAATTCTAATATTTGAAAATTAACTTTGAAAAGCTACAATGATTGTTTCCAATATGAGCTTAACAACACTTGAAACGTACTATTAAGTACTGTCGCATTTTTACAGTATACATCTTGATATCTGTTGAATGATTGAAGCCTGAACTGATTCATGTATGTAAGCATTATTTCTGGCTTCTGAGCTTTACATGTACACGGGAAGAGATCAGCAAAAATATATAATAAAAATCTGCATGTTATAAGAGGCGTGTTCTTTAATTATTTTTTTTAATGAAGTAATATTTGTTCTTACGTCTGTAGCTCATCCAACACGAAAACATCACATTTTATTTAGGGGTGACTTTCAGCCTTCACATTTCAGATACTGAAAATCTGTTTTGTCTTTTCAAGGCATGCTTTTAAAATGTTGAACCTTATACTAGACTAGATCAATTGTGAAAGAAGAATACTTTTCTCTATCACGACTGGCTTATTTCTGGGTGTCCTTCAGAGGTTGAAAGTAGACATATTTTCTGTACAGTTCTGAAAGCATATTTCATTATAGTTTTTATATCATTTTCTTTTGGTTCAAACCATACTATTAACCATTTTCAGCTTGAGTTTCATCTCTTTTTTAATTTTTACATATAACAAACACACCACTTCACAAAAAGCAAAACTGTGTTTAATATTTTAAAAATATTTTGGGACTCAAAATTATAAATCTTATTTCGTCCTTTAAAAAGGACGCTAGGAGGAAAGGACATTCAGAACGTATAGAACACATGTCTATTGAAAACATTACTCTCCAAAAACGTGAAGCAATTTTAAATGAAACATTCCTAGTATTCTTGAAGACATTTTTCTGGATAAATCAATGATGTTTAGATCTCTATTGTAAACGTGTGTTGAAATAGATGGTGTGCAAGGAAAAATGCAATATAAAACAAAAACAAAAAGAAAAAAATATGTTAAAACATAAAAAGCATGATTTCATATATTAGATCAGCCAGGTTTTCTGTACAGAAGCCAAGCGTTGCTCGTGGCAGCATCAGCTGACAAGAAAGCAACAAGTGGCCACCACCATTTCTTTTAACTTATGATGATCCGTTACAGTCTTACATTTTGATCCATCCGGTCAACTTCCCCCAATGAGGCACTGTACACTTGAACGATGTTGGGCTCTGGAATATTGATGTGCTTGCTATTCTCAGCAGACCACCTCCTTACAGTTCCAATAGGTTCAAGACCCAAACAGTTACTTGCTATGGAGACCACGGAATTGTCATCCCGGGATAAAAACAAAGACGTTACGATGGTCCAATCGATGGTCCCCTGATCCACGATCAAGCTTCGGCAGGCCATCTGAGTCAAAGGCTCATTTGTCCTCCCGATTGCTCCTCACTGTCTCTGTTCTCCTGAAACCTCTCTCAGGGAGTGCTGCAAGCAGCGGTAACCAAGTTCTTACTGCCTGTCAAACTTTGCATGAGGTCCCTGGTACCAGTCCAGGGGGACTGCATAGCCAAGAGGAAAGGCTAGAACGCACTGTTTATAACCAAAACGAATGGGCTTGCCCCTAATGCATTGTTTCAGTCCATGTCGACCATAGTACAGCACCAAGCTCCTTTCATATCTATGCCCATGGTTTCTTCCATGGGAAAGTACCCCAGGAAGCGATCATTCAGCAAGTCATAGAGGTCGAACCTTGGAAAACCTGTCACCATTATTGGAAACTCATTGTCTGCCTAATGAAGGAACTTCATATTCGTGGATGGCTAAAAAGGATCTTAGTTCAGAAAGAGTGAGAGAGAAGGAGTGGTCTCCTTGGGCTCTAGCATAAATCTCTCTCCTTCAGGTATATCTAGGCTGGCTTCTGCCTCCGATGGTAGTTGGTGAGAGAGTAGGTCATCACTGGTAACTCTGTTATAAACATCGTCGTTTTTTTTGTCTTCTTTGAGAGAATGTATTCCTTCAGCTGGAGGCTGTATGTATAATCTCCCATCAACCACTGCTTTATCAGTGGCCTCTGTTATTATAATGGCATTTTGGAGAGAAAGAATTCTGGTTTGTTTGGGTAGAACACAATACAATGTATTTAGAAATCAGAAAGGTGAAAATTAAAAGAAAAAAAAGCGTCAGCATTGATGTGTGTCAACTAGACCTATAACTATGTCTATAGCTAATAGTCTGTGTGTACAAGGAGATCATATACATATTTTGTATACAATGAATTTTATCACAGTAAATAATGAACGTCCATAACATTTACATCTAGGCCTAAATTGTATCCTAAAAGATTTAAATCTAGCGTCCTATGTTTATATCAGCAAGATATTCTACTATGTATGTATCAAACTAAAGCCGCACGCAGCCTAACCCACTAGCATTAGAGTATAGATCGGGAACCCCCTTCCTGCTGGTGTTCTTAAAAAAGGACAGGGGTTTCAAAAGCAAATGTGACAAAAAAAACCCAACCATTATGAAGTACTTGATGCTTGTTTTCCCTAAGGAGGTACTTATCTGTTTAAATAGGTTTTTGCTTCAAATTTGGATTATTTCTTACAATTTTACTTTCACCTTTTAACAGACTTGCTTGCAGCCGCTATTTTGGAAATTTCAGCCTTTAATAAACAAAATCAGCATAAAAACTCACACTGGTGTGAAACTTTTCTCGTTAAACAAAAGATTTACCATTTTGGTATCTGAAAAACCACAACTTTGAAACAAAATTTTGGAATATGTATTAATTACAAAGATAGTACATAACAAGATGGTCCACTCAGCCAAAAACGTGTCCGCGGAAGTCCGCTCATTGCTTCAGATGGCGCTGCAGTCTGTTTTGAAGCTCTCTTTCGTTTCTCCTGAAGAAGAATAGGAACAGCACCTCCTTGCGTGCGCAGATCGACTGCTGTTCATCAGCTGTTCGGGTTCGTTCAGTGCGGAGTTTGGTTTTTTGTGGTTTTTTTAATGACCTCTCGCCTCTCATTCTGAAGTCAAATTAAACGAAGAAAACTGTAGGAAGAGGTTTTTTTGTCAGCGTAACCATTAAAAAAAAAAAATTCTTCCGAAATTTGAATTCTTATTTATTCAAAAACGTTTTAGTATCACCAAAGATTGGTATGACTTTGATTTTTTTTCACACAAGTAGGGTAACAGTTCACAAAGGGTGCGCATTTGCGAAGTGGGCGCCACCGAATTTTGAGGACACTTTTTTAATTGGCTGAAAGAAAGGAGTGGACCATCTTGTTATGTATGATCATTGTTAATTGTCGGCTTTTTTCAAAGCGTCCTTAAAAAAGGACGTCAGCAGAAAATGGGTTAAAATTTTTGGGTTCCTACAAGCAAAATTCCCTTTTGAACACAAGATAATTGGAAATTCCTACAAACGGAATGATTGGGAGCAAGTTTTTAAATTTTTTTTATCAACTATATCTCGTATCTTTTAGTTACGACTTATGATAGTATAAAGTGAGTCACACTTTAATCACATTTTTTTTTACTCTACATGTATATTTTTTAACAAAGACAAAGAGAACACATTGCTTATCAACATTCGAGCCAGAACAATTTGCGAGGCAGCGTGGTGGAATCGGGCTCTCGTCAATTTTTGGGCATGCAGAGTTATAGGTATCATCTTAAAGCTTGTTCATTTGTCTTTATTTGGATGAAAAAAAATATCCATTTATCTTGAATACAAGTCGAGATATTTGCGAAAGAAGGAAGTGGTGGGTCACCTGTTTTCAGAGGTAAAATTAGTAAGAAAATGGCCGCCAAAGATTAGCTATTTCCTTAGAGTAAGAATCCGTGGTAACTGAATATTTACATTTTTTGTGCCTTTAATCAACATTTCTCAGAAAAATCCACACCGAATTTAGTTCTTTAAAGGGCATGAAAGGCGTAGAGCCAAAAAACAAAAATTTGATAAAAATTCCCAAACCTGGGGAGAAATACAAGTTTCTTCACTTTGATTATTTTGACGAGAGCCTGATTCCACCACGCTTCATCACATTTGCTTACAGTTAGTTAAGACAATCAATACAAGACTACTGATAAAAGGTCGATACAAATCGATGGGTGTAGTCAAAAGTTATCTGCTCGTTGAGTTAGACAAGCTATACTCACTGTTTCTCAACGTGTCAGGTTTACTCTCAGTATACACCACAAGTTTTGCCTCCTTTATATTATACATCCATACGTGTATCATTAACAGCGCACTCTGGTGTATTTACGCGTTAAGCTGCTAGACCACAAAAGGTCTATATTCTTATGGATACGTGTGTAAAGCATCTTAGATTCTGTGTAATGAGGTCGACAAGTTGTCCATTTGGTGTTGGCCAGACAATAGCAAGAACTCTGGGTTTGTCTCTGAAGGGTGCTGCTCTTGTTTTCCTGTCCAAGTCAACTGATAATAGGGATTATCACGCGCAAATGGAAAAAGTACCATCTTATCTTTGAGCTGGCGGAAGACAGATATTGAAGGTTGATTACATACAATGTTTTTACCTTTCGGTACCCTCAAACCGGAGCTGTTACGTATAGATCTAGTTACATTTTATATCTTTTTTTAAACTAAAATTTTTGCAATAGACACAATAACTGTGGGCATGGTCACACAAGTCTCCGACTGCCGGCTTACCTCGCACACCTCATTCCCATTGAACTAGTTTAAGCAAAGATAAAAAATAACGTCGCTTCCAGAAACACAACCTTCAGTCAAACTACATGACATTTAAGTTTTGACAGCACAAGCCATTGAAAAAGTGGACTTCGAATATTGGGGAAAATGTGTCATCACGTCAAAGACAAAGAAAATTACAGGAAGAGATACGGGCTTGGGTTTATCCAGCAGTCACTAATTATCAACCCATAAGAGACATCAGATTCGGAATGTGAAGTATGGAGCGTAGATAACTTTCTTATCGTGGATGATCCATTTTTATCTTTTCAGTATTCCTGTTGAGTATTTTACATTCCACTGAGGGTGAACAACAGTTAATTAGGAAAGCTCTGGTTTAGTCTTATTATCGCGAAATGTGTTTCCACTGTTGAGTCAGTAAACACCCAGCTAGAATTTCATTAACATCTTATCGTCAGAATAAGACAAAGTGACGAAAGGCTTGTATCTGGACTTAAAAGTTAATTAAGGTACAGTAGCACTAGTTTTTTTCCTTTTCACAGGGTACCTGCAAATATTGATGAAGTGTAGAAGTCTTGTCTTGTAGATTCGGAAGC